AATTAATTTTCTGGGATACCCATGTGACACAACATTTATTCTTTTCCTTGTTTCTTCTAAGCAACCAAATTAAGCAAACGGGTTTGTTGTGTGAGTTGTTTGTGATTCGTGTTATAGATGCTATTGTTTTTGGTTTGCTTTCCTTCTTTTGATCTCGTTTTAAAGTTTTAAAATTTCAAAGCTTCTCATTGTACCGGGAGATTGCACGACTCAAGTGATCGTGGTTGTCATGATTCAAGTGGTCGTGGTTGTTTGTGATTAATATCATATCACACCATATAGAAAGAGCACAACATAACAAAACATAATTCAAAACCACAACTTTGCTTCACCCAAAAAAAAAACAAAAAAAGCACAACTTCTAATTATCAAGCTGTTTGTAAATCTCTAAATAGGCAAGGCTACAATTGTTATTTAACATATAGTTGGCATTGCTCTGTTTTTTTGTGTCTTTGAACTTTAGTTTTGGATTATCCTGTAAATACCAACAAAATCCACAACTGGAGATCCTACGTAGTATGACTCATTGATCTCATTAACTTTACTGATGTTACTGAACGCGTGGAAACGTTCAAATTTTATCACATCAGTCGTAATTTGAAGCCCAAATGCATTGATTCAAAATGCAATGGGGTAGGTAGACATGAATGACGAATGCGCATATCTATATCGACGGTTCGCAGCCACCCAAAAATCTCCTGATGATGATGATGATGATGACGTGTTGTTGATGTTGTTGCTCCTCCTCCTTATGTTAACCGGATATCCCACAGTATGGTAAATAATTTCTGATGTGTTAGCTTTTGGACCTGTGAGCCAAAACTTTTGGATTCTTTGTAAAGTTCATTCAGAAACAAGGACAAATGAACCGTGCTTGCTAACCGCCGTCCCTAGTGGCAAAGAAAGTCCTCTTAACAACACTGTTACTTCTTTTGTTTGTGGATCAAATTTCAACAGTTTTCCAGTTGCGTCGTGCTCAACATTTGCCTTATGCATGTCACTGCATACATACATACAGTCCTAAGTTTAATTATGTAGCACACGTTACGTTATTCCAATAATCAAGCCTTCCTCTTCTCTTCTTTGAGGTTAAAGCACGTTATGGGACCCTGTCTCATTTTTCCTCCTCTTGAACAAGAACTCAAACCCAATGAACCTTTCCTCTCTAGTAAGGAATAAGCAATTTCTAAAAAAGAAATTTTTTAAAAAGTAATTTAATCAATGCATTGCCAGAAAAGCGCCATTGCCTAAAATCAATGCAATATCATGTAGTACAGGCTATAATATAGGATAGGCGATTACACCTCAAACATAAACAATACATTCCAATTTCATGGAAGAGTGGGGAAAGACTTACAATTGCCCTAAGGCATGACTTGTGTACTACAAGGGTGACGAAATCATACATAAATTTCACATGTTTTTTTATATTGGCTTAAAATTCTTGAAGATCTTCCAACTCCGCATCAGAGAAGCCTGCAAAATAGAGTGTACATCAAGTTCACCTGTTTTTCAAATGGACTAAAACTTCTTGAAGATCTTCCAACTTCGCACCAGAGAACCCTGCAAAATAGAATATCTTGTAACCAAACAAGGAAATCCAACGTCCTAAAATAAGTTCGAATTGCAAGACCAAAAGTTGAACATAAATACTCCATAGCTATTACCTTTGCCAATACCCATCATAGATGGATCTCTGCGTGGGTTGTAAATCTTATCTGCTTTGTTGTGTTCGGTTTCTTCTATCTTTCTGGTCTTCAGCTTTCCTATTTTTGTCCGAAGTTCTGATGCTGTCTTCATCATCTCTGTATAAAACAAAAATCTACTAAAACTTTTCGTCTTTTAAGATACAGCAACAGAAACTCAAGATCCAAAACAGTTAATACAAACACAACTTGAACGAGTAAATGTATGGATTTTCCCACTCAGTAGTCTTGAAACAAGAAATGGTAAAAGTAGCAGATTACTAAATACAAGTTTTCCTGCAGAACAAATATGATTGTAACTTTGTCACTTTCAGGGACCTAGCAGAAGAACCTATAAGACATCTCTGCCTTGAGTTGAGGTTTAACTTCAGAAGAAGTTCAGAACAAGGTCTAATCACCTAATATATTAGAAGAAAAACCTTCATAACGCTAAATCCATGTCTTCTAGTATTATGAGTTAAAACGGATGCTAAAGCACACTAAGTTCGAACATATTTGGCGGGAGTATTTAGTTAGTTACCTTGGAACATCTCATGATAAGAGTTTTGGTCATATAATAGCGAAATCTCATTGAGGGCAGAAATATGATTATTAGACGTAGACTGTCGTTCTAATGATTTGAGCTCTCGGTTCAGCGCAGCAGACTCCTTACCAACCTGTAAACGTATTTTGTTAAAATAGATGCCAATCAGGAAATGAAAGAAATCACAATTTTATGCAGACAAGAGATCCTTGCTACTTCTAGTATATAGTAATTACCTTAGTAAGGTTGTTCCTTAATATATCCAACTGGGCATCCAAGTCTGGGTCACAGATTGCATTTTGACATATAGAAGTGTCGACAGGTGTTTCATCCTAGAAAGTAATTTTCTTTAGTTATTGAATTATACAAGGTTTATGGAATGGAAAAGTATTACTTCCATTGTACACACTCCACATTGCAATTCCTATAAACCAATTATTTTCTCTCACAACAGGAGTGTGGATAAAACTGACTTGAAAGCATCAAATAAGTGAAAAAAAACCCTACACTTTTGGGCAACATGAACCCCTCAGGAACTTGAAAAAAGTGGTTATGGCAGTGCTGCTCCCACATAGCTAGCCGCTTATCAATATCTGATTGAACCTTTTTGCGGATAACATTAATACCCTACACAGAAAAACAGATAAATAACTGACCAGAACCAACAAGAATTTTTTATTATTTAAAAGATTGCATCTCCTATTAGTTAGAATGAGAAAAATATAATCCTCAACCAATTTTGTTTAAATCCATGGTGAAATGTGTTTGTTTCATTTGACCTTATGAAAATCATCCGATGCAATGTATCAAGCACCAAGAGAATTCAGAGTTAAAAAAAGCTAAAATTCAAGTTTACTAATAATATGTACCAACTCCCAAAAGAAAGAATGCGTTCACAAACAAACACATAGTCTCACTCACACAAACACACATCAATTCGAGAAATTTGTATAAAGGAACAAGCCCTCGAATTATGGAATGAATTGAAATGCTAACAAATTAGGCAAAACAAGAAAAAAGAGAGCAAGGAGTGAAATTTATACCTTGGATAAATCTTGGGTTCTGTCAGTGCCCTCGATCTTCAGGGAGGTTGATGCTTGTCTGGAGGAAATCATCAGAAAAATAAAAATGCCATAAGCAGCTGCTGATTTAGGTTTTCAGAGAGAGAGAGAGAGAGAGAAAGAGAGAGTTACTGGTGGAAATGATTGCAAGCGTCATCGACCAAATCATCGACGAGGTTGAAGACCTCGTTGATAAACAGCTGCGGATTAACGTTCAGCGAATCGAACACTGCCTCGCTTTCACTGCCTTCCATTCTCGCATTGGCTCTGTAAAATGGCGCACTTTGAAAAGTATGGGAAAATTGGACTTGAATTTTGAAAGTGGAAATATTTAGGAGAACAGAGCGGACACGTGGATCCACGGCATTCTGCCACGTCAAGTTTAATCTGTCTCCTGTCTTTCTTTTTGTTTTTAAAATTATTTGTTTTTTTCGGTGGAGGAACTCACAACTGAAGAAAGGCCCTAAATTTTTCAATCCAAAAATATTTTTTGTTTTTCTAATTTGTCAGTGGCTACCAGAATGTTTCCGAAATTTCAAATACCCATGACAACTTGATATTACTAAGTAGATAGATACAAAATAGTCGTATGGCATCGAATTAATTTAATGGTAAACCAAATGTCGAGCTTGCCAATATACCCACCTAGCAATGAGGTCATTCATGTCCACCTACCCCATTGCATTTCGAATCAATGCATCTGGGCTTCAAATTACGACTGATGTGATAAAATTTGAACGTTTCCACGCGTTCAGTAGCATCAATGAAGTTAATGAGATCAATGAGTCATATTACATAGGATCTCCAGTTGTGGAATTTGTTGGTGTTTACAGGATAACCCAAAACTGAAGTTCAAAGACACAAAAAACAGAGCAATGCCCACTATGTGTTAAATAACAATTGTTGCCTTGCCTATTTAGAGATTTACAAACAGCTTGATAATTAGAAGTTGTGCCTTTTTTTTTTTTTTGGGGTGAAGCAAAGTTGTTGTTCTTAATTATGTTATGTTATGTTGTGCTCTTTCTATATGGTGTGATATAATATTAATCACAAACAATCACAACCACTTGAGTCGTGACAACCACGATCATTTGAGTTGTGCAATCTCCCGGTACAATGAGAAGCTTTGAAAATTTAAAACTTTAAAACGAGATCAAAAGAAGGAGAGCAAACCACAAACAATCGCATCTATAACATTTAATCACAAACAAACACACACTAACCCATTTGCTTAATTTGGTTGCTCAGAAGAAATAAGGAAAAGAATAAATGTTGTATCACATAGGTATCCCAGAAAACTAAAGAATTTGACTTGTTTGACTTGAACAACACCAACTACCCAACTTATCAACCATTACTGCTTAGGAAATTAATGTCCATTTATTATTTACTCTTCTTACTTAGGTAAACTTTACAAAGAAAAAAGGAAAGGAAAGATTTTTGTTGAAATTGGACATAGCATACCTAAATGAAGGAATCCAAGAATATATTTGCGCGTGGTGGAGGTGGAGCCCAAGTAGGAAACTCCTTGGTGCCCAAGCAAATGAGAGAATCTATAATTTATTGGAACAAACAAACTGAAAGAGACCGTGTTCCTTAAAATACTCCCTCCAAACAAATTACTGAAATTCATTGGAACTTTAAAAAAAAACTCAAAACTCTCTGAGCAGAGAGCAGAGAGCATAGAGAGAAGCTAAGCTTTGCTTTGAGATGAAGAAACCAGTGACACTGTATTACACCACCTCCGTCCTCCTGAAAGTATGCCGAAGTAATCATGTTGTCGGAAAAGCCGATATTCCTCCTCCTCCTCCTCCTCAAATTCAACTTCCAACTCCAACAACTCTTGTTGGTCCTCCATTGCTCAGCAGATTAAAGGCTAATAACTATAATGATGGTTCCAACAAGAACCCTATCCCAAACCCCTGCCTCCGTCTGTTTTTCGACATCAAACCACCTGCATACTGGAGGGGCACCCCCCAATTTTCCGATGACTATCTCCAGCAACTGCTGCCGCAAGCCTGGTCTCACAGCCCCCTCACCACACTCAAGCTCATCTTCAATCTACGTCACCGACGTGGTAAATTTGACGATCAAGCCTTCTACACGGCGGCGTACTGGCTCTACCAATACCACCCCAAGACCCTTGCTTGCAACGTCGTTGCTATTGCTGCCTCCTTTGGCACTTTCTTAGACCTTCTCAAGATTCTGTACCGCACTTTACAAGGCAAAGACCAATTGCCCAGTGCTCGTTTCTACCTACCGATCACAAAAGGCATCGAGGGTCGTACTTGGACGAGGAGGAGGAGGGAGAAGATCTTGGCCATGGCAAAAAAGGCTCTTGAGAGGTACCAGCTTGACCCACCCCAATTACCGCCTCTTACACGACGCCGTCTCCGATATTTACGCTCTGTGCCTCAAGTCTGACATTCAGAGCTTGAAAAATCATAGGATTACCAGTGATGATGAGCCTGAGTGCTTGGAGATAACCAGGGCGGCGGATTTTTTCCCTCACATCGACTCGTCTTACGATCGAGCCACTCTGCTCTGCGAGAGCATTGCGAAAAAGGTTTTTCCGCCAGGAGGAGGAGTAGAATCGGAGGAGGCCGACAATGATTATGCGTACAGTGTCAGGAAGCGGTTGTGGAAGGAGGTTTTGGTGCCATTGAAGAAAGCCTTGGCCACCCCGGCTTATACCGGTGGCAACAAATGGGGTTATGATCCGGGGTTCAAGCGAGAGCCCTGCGCGGTTGAGACTTATTTGGAGGACGTCGTCAAAGCCGGCAAGTCCAAGATTAAGGCCGGTGCTCTGCTTCCAAATGAGATCATAGGCTATCTTAAGAGAAGGATGGATAATGACGACGACGACGACGTGCATGATCTAATGGCTGCGGCTGGTCTTCAGTGGAAGACCATGGTAGATGACTTCTACTTAAAGCAAGGCAAGTTTAAAAAGTGTTTGGTTGTATGTGATGTCGAGTCAAACAACAAAGTGTCGGTGGGTTTGGGGCTTCTGTTGTCTCAACTGAGTGAAGAACCATGGAATGGAAAGGTGATCACCTACAATGAGAACCCTCGGCTGGTTTCCATACAAGGCCATGATCTTAAGTCCAAGTACGAGTTTATGACAACAAAACTAGGCCCGTTGGATGTTGGGGTTAATTTTGAAAAGGTGTTTGATTTGATCCTGAAAGTGGCTGTGGATGAGAATTTGAAGCCGGAGCAGATGATCGAGAGGGTGTATGTGTTCACTCCCTCCAGCGGGGCCTATAATAGATGGGAGACTAGTGATTTCGAGGCAATGCAGAGAAAGTTTAAGGAGAAGGGATATGGGGATGTGGTGCCACATATTGTGTATTGGAATATCAGGGCACACATGTCTGTGCTGGAGATGCCTAATACACAACCAGGCTTAGGCTTCACCAAGTTGAGTGGCTTCGTCAACAACAATTTGGTCAAGTTCTTCCTGGACAATGGTGGGGATTTTGGCCCCGAACATGCCATGGGAGCTGCCATTTCTGGCCAAGACTATCAGAATCTAGTTATAGTGGACTGATCAATTTCATCATCATGTGATGAAATTGTTTACTTGTCCTAGTTTAATTGTTTCCTATATGGATTGAGTAGTTACTTACTAGTCGGTGAAAGTTGATCAAGTTGTCTTAGTTTAAACTGATAATTTCTTTCTAGTTTGGCAAGGCCATGTTGCTGTAATATTTATTCCTTTAAGATCCAGCAAACTATTCTAGGTCTTGTCATTTTATCATTCGCTGGCCATTGGCCATTCCTGTAAGAAGGGCTTCACACTCAATCCTAGTGGAACACAAACTCATGAGCAAAAGTAGAAATCATAATCAAACTCTGCTAGTAACTCATAAAGGTGTAAAACTATTAAACAAGAGTTGTAGCAATCCTACAAGTTGCTACAGCAACTTCTTGAACTTGAGTGATGGATGAATTGCCGTATTGATCCAAAAGAATAATCTCATCAAGCACAGCGCCATCTGAGTCGATGAGAAGTGCAATTGGCACAATGAGCTTGCCCCTATGATTTATCAGTCTAGTTTCACGGTTCACCGCCACCCAAAAATCTCCCGATACGCTCCGTTTTATGTTGACCGGATGGTCACCAAAGTCGAGAATAATTTCTGATGTGTTACCCTCTGGCCCGGTGAGCCAAAACTTTTGGATCCTTTTGCCTGCGTATTCAGAATGTGCACTGTGCTTCATTAATTCATTGCTAAATCATATGGTTCTAAAGTCCTTTTCCCCTTGGTGCACTGTGCTTCTTATTCTTGGTGCCCTAAATGGAGTATGTATGCGCAAAATTTACCTTAAGCATCGATTCTCATCGTTCATAATCTCCTAATACAATAATCTTTATTAACATTTTCAGTATTTTAAAATGAAGCCTTATGCATGTGATCCATCGAGCTTGCCAATATACCCACCTAGCAATGAGATTGATGCGAAAAATCGAGAGGAGGCAAAGAGGTGAGGATTCACTTTCTCTTGTATGAGAAAATTTTGTTTAGTTCCTCACCAGAATATGAAAATTGATACTTACTATTGCCACAAAATTTTCAGAAAAAAGATTGGAGGGCGAGTTCGTGGATCCGAAACAAGAAAGCAAACAAGAAAATCACTTGGATGTAGTAAATTAGCACCAGCAGAGGTCTCTCTCTCTTCATGTATGTTTTTTGTGGATATACATGTTCTAAGATTAGCATTGGAAGGTTCTTAACGGTCATCTCAACCTTGTCTTGCAGGACTTAGCAGTCCAGTCTCAAGTTTCATATAAAATCAATGGTAATAATGGAAATATTCTTAAGGAAGAAAATGCTATCACAGGCAGGGAGTTGCCAAAGCCATCAGCTGGTAAAGTAGAAGAGTCGTCGCATGTAAAGAACGCATCTCAAGGAGACATTCCCTTCTCTGGTCCGTTAGAGGTTTCTACATCAAGTGGTTTTGCATGGGTAAAAAGGCGAAAAGATGATGCTTCCATAAGATCTCATACTCGGTCTATTTCAAGAGGACACATTTTTAATGCAATAGAACCTCCGATTGCAGTGCATACAAGAAATAACTTTGACTCAAGAAGGCATGAAAATGGGGAACTCAAGTACAGGGTGCGCACTGACTCTAGAGGGCATGATTCATACGAGATAGCAAAGCTCGCAATGATGAAGCAATGGGGCAAGCTTGAGCATCCAGATTCCTTTGATGCTTGGGATGGGTACCACTCACAGGAATTATCATTGGCACTTTATCAGAGAGAGGAAATGGCAGCTAAAAGTGATCTGGTAAGTTTGTACGATGTAAGAATTTAGATACATTACTAATTTGTCAAAGACTAATGTAATGTATCATGATAACTGAATCACACTCCTGGTTTTCTGACTTTTAACTTATGGCGTCATTTTTGAAATATTAATAACCATTAATTTTTCTGGTGGGGAAATTTCTTCTGAGTCCCATTCAAGATGGCAGATTTGCACATCTATTATATTCAGCAAGTTCATTTAATTTTCATGTGACAACTGGGCATGGCCTAAGAGTTTAAGATGGTTGAAAAGTTGGTTGAATGAATTGAACACAAAGGAAAACAAGTGCCCTCAATATATATAATCACCTAGCTTCTTTAGCCTCATAATACTGGTTTTGTGACAGGGTTTTCAACTTCAAGATCAAGGAGACAAGGTTGAATTTTCCGGACCATTGTTGTCTCAACCATATAGAGTTGATGAACTTTTAGAAAGACATGAGCGCCACATCAGAAGGACGACCCGGAACTCATGGTTCCATAGAGGTACAAGACTAATACTATGAATTATTATGTATATCTTCTATAAGTGTTTTCCCACAGACTCTGGCTTGGAAAGAAATTAGTTTTTTAAAAAAAAATTGAAGTCAGAATACTATGGTTAATGGTTATTCTTAGTTTGTACTTTATTTGACCAAGATAGTTCTTAAGCAAAGGTTTAAAGTGCACCTGAATGATATTTCTAATGGCCTTTGTGTGGCTAAAGATTGTTACTTCTGAATTGCAGGTAAGAAGCAGGGGAAGTAATTGACTGATAGGCCGCATTTGAGTAAATTAGAAAGAGAGCCAGTCTCGACAACGAAACAGATAATACAAGAGTTCAGCTTGGGAGCTGGCATTTCCAACTAGGCTGCCATATCAACTATTTGAGAAAGTGAAAATCTCCACCACAAACTCGGTGACAAAAGAGACAGAAACTACATTTCCACTTAAGGTTATTTGGAAGAGGTGGAAAGAATGGTAGAGAATGATGGGTTCTCTTCTTTAGAATAACATCTGTTTTCTCTCTTATTCAAAACTTTTTGTTTGCCTAATTAGTTCCTTGTTTCAAATTATTTTTTTGTAAAAGTCCCATTGGGCAAATGTATAGATTAGTGATTATGGTTTCTGAGGAAAAGCCTTGTATAGTTTCTTGTTTCGCAGGCTAAGGCATTATCCTTATAGCTTTGGTTGTTCTGAACTTCTTAAAATTTCAGAAGAGTCTTGAAACAAATTTTAGAAAAATAGCAAAAAGGGAAAGATTCTATAGCCCATGCAAGATGATCTTTCTTCCTTACAAACTCCATTCACAGGCTGCATGTATAAACGTTAGACATGCTTGATCAATCATCACAGAGAACATTCTGAGCCCCTAAATCTGAAACCCTCAAGCTCAGATCAAATAACTCAGCTCAGGGCTGAAATCATTGCAGAGATATGACATTCAGAGGCCCAAAATCTGAAAGCCTAAAGCTCAGGTCAAATAACTCAGCTCAGGGCTCAGTGTTTGAACCAAAATCACAAGCATTACATGTCCATCATAGCTAAAGCTAAACCATATCTTCTGCTAAATATCCAAAACCTTAGCTGCAATGCAACTGATAGCAACCACTACCTTAGCTGCAACTGATAGCAACCACTACCTTAGCTGCAATGCAACTACAACTTTGGGAGCTTTGTCTTGGACTCTCATGTCAAAGAATCATATGGTCCTTTCACTTGTAGACATTCAGGTAAAACCAGCAGGAAGAAGATGCAAACTCTGTTCATAGCTAGAGAGAGTTACTGGTGGAAATGATTGCAAGCGTCATCGACCAAATCATCGACGAGGTTGAAGACCTCGTTGATAAACAGCTGCGGATTAACGTTCAGCGAATCGAACACTGCCTCGCTTTCACTGCCTTCCATTCTCGCAGTGGCTCTGTAAAATGGCGCACTTTGAAAAGTCTGGGAAAATTGGACTTGAATTTTGAAAGTGGAAATATTTAGGAGAACAGAGCGGACACGTGGATCCACGGCATTTTGCCACGTCAAGTTTAATCTGTCTCCTGTCTTTCTTTTTGTTTTAAAAATTATTTGTTTTTTTTGGTGGAGGAACTCACAACTGAAGAAAGGCCCTAAATTTTTCACTCCAAAAATATTTTTTGTTTTTCTAATTTGTCAGTGGCTAACAGAATGTTTCCGAAATTTCAAAAAGCATCTGATAAGTTGCGGATGCTTTTACAAAACAGAGCCAATTTTAGTGCGTTTCGAAGCTACACAAGCATGGCGAGGAAGAGCTCCAAAGTTCAAGCTCTCTACGAACTCTGTCAAAACATGTTCACGCCATCGGGGTCTCCTCCCCCTTCTTCTGCAGCAATCAACAAGCTTTGTTCGGTTCTGGGTATTTCTCTCGTCTTTTAAATAAATAAATAAATTATAATTTCGTTTAATATTATATGTGAAGTGTGTAACCAAAGTTTGGCTCAATTTTGCATATTGGATTTGCAAATTATGTCGAAACTCAAATTGAGTTTGCCCGTTTTGGTGGTGTAAGTGAGAATTGAGCGATATATTTATGGGGTTTCGTTAAATTGCTAGAATATATTTATTTTGTAACTCTACTTGGTCTTGGTTCTAAATTCTAATGGAATATCCTACATTGGCATATAATTTAGCAGTGGACTAGTTTAGCGTGAAATATGTGAAACTTGATGCAATTAAGGTTTGTCTGCAAAGTGAGTTTAGATTCATATATTGCATGCATTGTTGCCCTTGGAAGTATGATGTTTGCTCTAAAGAGAAAGACTTTACCTCCAAAATGCGAACTTAATTACTGGATTGCTCGTCAGGGTGAAAAACCAGTTGGATGAAGAATCATGTTTCTTTCCTTTGTGCCATTTGTGGCGAAGTTTTGATGGTTTTTCCTTTTCTTGAGAATATAAACTTAGCTGATAGGGCTCTGTTGCTTATTGATAGTAATGGCTAGAGACCAATGCTACTTCTGATATAGATTTCCATGGCCCCTGGAATGTGGAAGCAGCTTGGTTGAACTTTTATATGAGGAATGTCTCATGATTGGTTAAGTCATAATGATGTCTTTGCTTTTGTCCTATTGTTTGTCACATACATAAATTTGGTTAATAAATATTTGTCTTTTCTGCACAATAATCGATTCCTTCTTAAAACATGTCCGAACACGAAATATCAGATCTTGAGGCCTTAACTAAGAAAGGTGATGACAGTTTCAGTTCCTTCCTAATAACTAGAAGGCCAAGATACTCATATATGATTCATCATTTTTATTGTTAGGATACGCCATGTCACAGTATCTTGTCTTTATTTTTCTGATATTGGTTGGAATTCACAGACACAATGTCTCCAGCTGATGTTGGTCTTAAAGAGGAAAATCTGGATGACGATCGAGGCCATGGATTTTTTGGACTTGACCAACTAAGTAGAGTTGCTCGATGGGCTCAACCAATAACATACTTGGATATATATGAATGTGATAGTTTTACGGTAAGCATTTAGCAAAAAAGAAATATACTTTTACAGAAAGCTCTACCATCTTCTTTCCATTCCCAAATCAAAATTCTATTTATGTTTTCCCTCGAGTTTCTTATTTACAGTATTTGGTACTGTGAGGAACAAAAAAAGATGGATCCTTTAATGAATTTTTGACATTATATTCATTTGTGTGTCTTTTCATTGATGAAAAGAATCTATTTGTTGTAATTCTACATAACGTGACCATTGGGACCACCATTCATATAATTTATCACTCAAAAAGGAAATTAGATTGTTGTTATATTCAAAGCTCTCTGAAATTTATACTCACGGATTAAGTGAATGATTTTATGCAGATGTGTATATTCTGTTTTCCTACCTCCTCAGTCATCCCACTTCATGACCATCCTGGGATGACTGTTTTTAGCAAAGTTCTCTATGGCTCTTTGCATGTGAGAGCTTATGATTGGGTCGAGCCTGCCCAGGAAAGCAAGGGACCAAATTACTTTCCAGGTCTGGTTTTTCATGTAGTTTTCAGCTTGTAAATGGCACAGTTACACTTCTTGACAACAGTATCAGCTTCGCATTTTCGTATTACTGTTCCTGTAGTTTCTTGGGCTTCACTTACACTGTCCAAAGATTTTTTTTCTTAGTATTTATTTTATGATCAAAGTTTCTACTATCTTTTCTGTTGTTCTTTAATTATTAAGAAAATATTGTAGGTAATGAAATTATTCAGATGATTATATCATTTAGTCCAATAAAAAAGGCCATTTTAGTGATTTTAAAAGGCTAGATTCATGAGTGAGATACTACCATAGAGGTCGTAAGAGTCATGCCCTTATGAACTGACCTATGTTCTATGCTCATAATTTTCATATTTTGAGGGTTAAAATATGGGAGAACTGATGAAGTTTCCATTCAATACAGTGAGATTGGCAAAGCTGGCGGTTGACAAGGTTTTAACAGCGCCATGTGGGACATCAGTTTTGTATCCAAGGAATGGGGGGAATCTGCATTATTTTACTGCAGTCACTCCTTGTGCTGTCCTTGACATTCTCACTCCCCCTTATAGAGAAGATGCAGGCAGAAAATGTACCTACTACCGTGATTACCCGTATACTGCCTTTGGTAAGTAACTTTGGTTTTTAGTTAGAGTTTTCTTTCCTTCGTGAACTTATTAGCATTACAAGGAAAGAAAAAGATGAAAACTGATAATTATAGTTGTCTGCTAAACACTGTAGCTACTGGTAACGGAATTAAGATAGAGGATGGTAAAGAAGAGGAGTATGCATGGCTTGCTGAGACAGAACCGGATAATCTCTATATGCGCCCAGGAAATTACACAGGCCCGACTATTCAAGTTTAACCCTCATCGGTCATTAGTGACGATTACTAAATGAGCCCCATGGTTCCTTGTGTTTGCTCCAGCTTTGGACCTTAAGAGAGAAAACATTCCATTGAGGTTGACTACATAAGCCTAAGCAAAGAGGTAACTATGGTGCTCGAGCCTGCAGTTTATCATCAAGTGAATTGGCAGAAAAATGGAGCTTGTTGTTGGGTTATGATATCAAGTTTAAGATCAAGCTAAGTCATCCGGACGAGTGACCTTCCTTGCTTGTGTCGCTTTCTTCATTAACTCAGGAAAGTTGTGGTGGTTGCAATAGCTACAATGTTAATTATGAAATGCACCCAACGATTTTGTTTGGCAATTATTGCCCTATCTTTTTGTGTTTACCGGCATGCATGGCTTATGTAAGTTCATGTTACACCACAATTTCAATGGTTCTATGGAGAATGCTTTCTAGAAAAACACGATATTTGGCCCTGATTGAAAATTTGAAAAACAAGGTGGAATATAATATAGTACACAATAATACATTACATGAGAATGCCACACAAGAATTACAAAGTTGAACTGGATACCAGTCGCATTTGACCAGTTCCCTACAAACTCATGACGATGATTGATTGAGACCACCAACTTCTTTATTGACTAACAAATGTTTCTATTGAAGAGAAGACGCCTGGTGTCTTATGCCCAAATTCAGCACACGGAACTACTCAAATGACACCTAACTTTATAAGCTCTATCAAAAATTTCTCTAGATTTACCCAAAAATCTAAATTGGGTGGAAGCTTGGATAACTTTTAAAATGAGGTTGTCTATTTCTTCCCTTAGGGTGATCTGAAAGCTTCACCAGCATAACGCACATTACCAAGTTCCTCTTCAATACGCAGAAGCTGCAAGCAAATCAGAACGCAACAAATAAACAGATTATTTCAGCCACTTCAACTTTTTAATGCTTTGACCACGTTTGAGAAAGCAAGTTATACGTGGGGGTGTTGGGGTAGTAGGAAAAGTTCCACTTTACCTGATTATACTTGGCCAGCCGCTCACTTCGGCAGGGAGCTCCTGTCTTTATCTATACAGAAGAAAATGCAAAATTCAACTTCATGGCACCAATAAAATGAAATGATAGAGAGCATAGTTATAGAAAATAACTAACAAACCTGTCCACTAGCCAATCCAACAGAAAGATCAGCAATGAAGTTATCCTCAGTTTCCCCACTCCGGTGGCTGACCATCACACCCCAACCTGCAGCTTTTGCGTCAAGTGCTGCCTGAATAGATTCAGTTATGGTGCCAATCTGGTTAACCTGCAATTCAGAGGAAGAAAATAAGCTCAACCACGTTCATCAACACAAATGGTTGTTACCATTGCACGGAAAAGATAAAAACCAATACAGTTAAAGTTGCTTGCCTTCAAAAGTAGGCCATTGCATGCCTTCCTCTGAATGGCTTCAGCAATTTTCTTTGGATTTGTGACCAACAAGTCATCTCCTACAAGTTGGATATCAACTGAAGATTGAAGTGAAGCCCACGAGCTCCAATCATCTTGGTCAAACGGATCTTCAATGGACACAATGGGGAAATCTTTTATAAACTCCTTGTACAGCTCGCCAAGGTTTGGAGGTGAGAGCACATGGGCCCCATCATTTGGTTGTTTCTTAAAGTTGAGATCGTAGTTCCCCTCTTTAGTGAGAAACTCTGAAGCAGCAACATCCATTCCAATTTTGATCTGCATCATTAACATTGTTGTGAGTTTACATAACACATTAATTTAATTTGCAAAAGATGAATAATGTCCTACCTTTCCTGTGTAACCAGCCTTTTCAATAGCATCAATGAGCAAAACCAGTCCCTCCCTATTATCCTGTACATTGGGAGCAAATCCCCCTTCATCTCCAACATTGCAAGCATCCTGTCCATATTTTGCCTTGATAATTCCCTTGAGTATATGATAAACTGTTTCAAACAAGCACAACAGTTATGAGTTATCAACTGTGCAAAAAATGGTGGAAACATGCTTAAGAATTTCTGTTCCATATAACCACTAGACGCTTCACGTAACTAAACCATATGTGCGGAAAATGAATAACAAATCTTGCTAACCTTCACTACCCATACGAAGTGCCTCAGCAAATGAGGTTGCACCTACAGGCAATATCATAAATTCTTGCATGGCCAAATTATTTCCAGCATGGCTGCCTCCATTGATCACATTAAAGGCTGGGACGGGCATAACGAGCTCTTTTGTTCCAGACACTTCTTGGATGTGCTTGTACAATGGCACTCCCTTTGCTCCTGCACCTGCTCTACACACGCTCAGAGATACTCCCAATATGGCATTGGCCCCCAGTTTTGACTTGTTTGGGGTTCCATCAATTTCCAACATAACGGCATCAACATCATTTTGATTTCTTGATAAAACAAAAAAAAGGCAAAAATGTCAGAAGTTCATAACCCGCATACAGCAAACATGTACAAAACAATATACAATTCACACAAAACATAATAATAAACATCAAGGCGAACAAGAACTGATGACAAGTTAAAAGAAGGGCAGGGAAATCATGTGTTAACTGGGCAAATTGTAATATCATATTATGTTACAGCTTTACAGTAAGCTTGATCACAGCCATACCAGCGAACTAAGTAGTTATCAAGTAATAGCATTTCATAATCACACATCTTTGTCATTGATAATTTCAAAACCAAAAGCTCACAAGTAGTAAAGTTTGAAGTAAAACTAGCTCTGCAGTGCCATTTGATGCCTAAAACTCAAATACAATTTTCCATAACAGGCTCAAATTAATCTAGTCTTTCTAACATCTATTTTGCTAAACTATTATCAGAAATACATTAACTTTAAAAGTGAGTAAAAACAATAAGGATGAAATAAAACTAACCTGACATCGATGCCAACGAGCTTGGGTCCCAAAATCTCATTGATGTTTTTGACAGCATTGAGCACACCTTTGCCGCCATAAACAGCCTTGTCTCCATCTCTGAGCTCCAAGGCCTCGTAGATTCCAGTGGAGGCGCCACTGGGGACGGCCGATCGGTACAGATCGTCGGTGATCAGGTCAACCTCCACCGTGGGATTGCCTCTGCTGTCGATGATCTGCCTGGCCTTGACCGACTTGAGGCGGTACTCCTTGGAAGCCTTGGCGGCTGCGGAGGGTGCGACGGCGACAGAGCATTGGACTGAGCTAGAAAAACGGCTTCTTGGGCAAGGGACGGCGCTGGATAGTCGGGGTCTTGTTTGGGGTTTAGAGGAAAGGAAGGGATTTTGGAGGAGGTTGGTGGTGGGCTGGGTAGCTAAAGCCATGTTTAAATATTTGTTTTGGAGAAACAGAGAGAGAGAGAGGGGGGGAGTGTTTAGAGGGAGAGAAGGTTAGGCGTGGAGATATATAAAGGGGGAGAGAAAATGTGAGAAAGCGTGGGAAAGTCCGCCGAAGAGCGATGAATATAAAGAGGGTATTCGATGTTGTCGTTGTTGGGTTGGTAGTCTCGTTGGATTCTGGAGAGACGTTGAGACAGAGAGGGGAAGGTAGGCTCTGTGACTCGTGAGAAAATGTGTTGTGTACCATGTGCAATGTGCGTGCGTGCGTGAGTTGGCATGGTGGGACCTTCACCTACTTTAAATATATTAAAGTAGACTCTTGGGTGGGCCCATCTGGCTTAAGATGTGAGATGGGCCCCTTTTTGTTTGAGATAGATTTATATCCATATTGGGCTCCCAATTGATCAGCTATGGGCCTCAACTCATACATGTGATGTGGTCTTTTGGCAAAAGACTGATACAAATTTTTGTACACTATTTGTGGTTTTCTCTTCAATCCAACCAACAAAGCAAGGAATCCACTTAACACTTTTGTTTCATACAACCCTCTTAATTATGTACCCCTTCCATTTTAATTAGTACTAATCATGTATTAATCTTTGTAAAATGATGAAATTCCACGTCAGAAATGAATGGATTATGGGTTTTGGATCACGTCAAAGTGTCAAACCATGAAAACAAACCAACCGTCCCCACTAAACAAGAGGCGTTCTTCACTACGTGTATCACTCAATTCGCACGTCCTTTTCAAATTGAGTTCCAGGGTCATTCTAGTACTTTCTCAATACCCCTCCATAGTACAACGGTAAACATGACGTGTCCTCCTACAACCACGACACCTGTTGCCACCTACTCTCAAAAACGCGCAAGGAGTCCCAAATCCGTAAATAAATTCAAAACCCAGGCCCATCCGCAGACACCGATTCAAATTGAAAAACCAACGTTTGCAACCGTTTACGTAGTATTAAACTTCTTCTATAAAGCAGTTACTCATACAGATAAGCAACACAAACAAAGAAGAAACAAGAGACGTGCTCTCTCTTTCCTCTGACTCTCTCTCTCTCTCTCTCTCTCTCTCTCTCTCTCTCTCTCTCTCTCATTTTCAATTCTCATTCTGTAAATCAAATTAGGGTTTTCGTTTTTCTCAGTCACAAAAAAAACCAATCACTGTTTCATTGATTAATTTTTCATCATCATATTCATATCGAACAATGTTTCGCGTAAGCAACACGGTGATCGGGATCCTGAACTCGCTGTTCCTACTACTGGGGCTGGCCTCCATAGGGGCGTCGATCTACTTCCACGTCCATGGCGGGACCAACTGCCAGAAAGTTCTCCAAAATCCTCTCCTCATCCTCGGCATCTTCTTCTTCGTGGTATCTCTCCTGGGCCTACTAGGGTCGTGCTGCCGCCTCAACTCGCTCCTCTACATATATCTGGCCGTGATATTCTTGGTGATCGTGGGGCTCATCGGGTTCACGGTTTTCGCGATATTCGTGACGAACAAGGGGATTGGGCAGGCGGTGTCGGGGAGAGGGTACAAGGAGTATAAGATCGGAGACTTCTCGCATTGGCTGCAGCATTATGTGGTGAATGGGAAGAACTGGGGACCCATCAAGAGCTGTTTGATCGATGCGCAGGTTTGCAGGAGCCTTGGCAACGATGTTCATCAGACCCAGTCCGACTTTTACAAAAAGAACTTGTCTCCTATACAGGTACGTACGTTCATTCATTCATTCATTCATTTTCACGGTTTAGTTTTAATTTAATTTATTCTTTCACTTAATTAGTGATTTTAATTATAATTTTCAGTCTGGTTGTTGCAAGCCCCCGTCCTACTGCGGTTACGAGTTCAAGAATGCAACGTTCTGGGTGGTGCCGAAATCGGGACCGGAAGTGGAAGACAGTGACTGCAAGACATGGAGCAATGAGCAGAAAACGTTATGCTACGATTGCCAGTCGTGCAAGGGGGG